TTATTATTATTATTATTATTATTATTATTATCTATGTAGAAAATCCTTATATACTTTTTGCCTTTTTTTTATTCGCTGTCTTTTGTTTTTTCTAACTTTACTACATGTTGTCAGAAGAAGGGTGAAGCTTCCTGATGTCATTCCGAACTGCTTCTTTTTCCTGGGGAACTTTCACAGTTGGAAAGTCCTCGAAGGACAAAATGTTCCTCTCCATTAACATGCAGTGTGGCAGTCTAGGCACTACAGATGATACAGATGATCATACAGTACAATGATGAATATGTACAGGCACCGTAGCAAAATGTATGAAAACACAAATCTCTTCAAACACAGACTATTCTCATTTTTGACAAGTTCAACTTGTGTTCGGTCTCGGTCTATCATGGAAGACTCAAAGTCACAGCACTGACAAAATCCATGGGGTCTCTGGCAGCCACTTCAAACAACCCTGTGAGTTTTGTGCTTTGTCCTGCTATGACCAGAGTCCATGTCTCACAGACACTGCAGTCCAGATTTTCTCAATTAGCAAAACTCTGCAGAGACAATGCAGAAATATGACCTAATTTTCTGCTTGTATAATACCTGTATTTACATTTATTAATTGTACCCTTTGTAAACCCTAAGAGCTAAGGTCCTTTTTCCCCTTTTACAACTATTATCCCCCATTTCCCTCTGACATAGCAACACAATATAGCTAAAGATAAATATAGCTAAAGACACAAATTCATGATTCTCAGAGAGACATATACTGTATATTATTTGCCAATAGGGGCCTCAAGTCTAGAACTGGCTACAGTGCCTTGGAAAAGTATTCATACTGTTCCTATTGTGTCCCATTTTCTAAAATTACAGAACACTGCATTTTTATTTAATATTTTACCTAAACTTTGCAGTACAGTGGCACAATGGTTAAAATAGTTGACTTGCTGCACTGGGGCCCTGGGTTCAATTTTGGACCTGGGGTGCTATCTGCATGGAGTTTATATGTTCTCCCCAGGTTTGTGTGGGTTTCCTTTGGGTGCTCTAGTTTCCTCCCATAGTCCAAAGACACACTGGTGGGTTAATTGACTTCCGGAAAAACCTGCCCTGGTGTGAGTGTTTGTGTGATGAACAGGGGTCTAAATCCTATCCCATCCAGATGGGATACCTCCCCTGCATTCCCTGTATAGGAAGAAGCAGTTAAAAAATGGATGTATAGATGGATTAACTGTACTTCATTTTGTTTTTTTTTAATGTGGAATTGGTTGTGCATACAGTATAACAAATAGTGGTTGCTACTTCTACACAAGAACAAGCCTTCAACTATCACTAGACTGACCTGCCGAAGGAAGGAGATGGGCTTCATCCCAGCCATGTGAGCATCCCCTGAACTCACATCTATCAGCTTCTTATAAGGCTTCTTCACTCCCTGCAGAGAGAGGCACAGAGTAAAGTCTATACTTCACACAGTACTATCTACAGTACCTCACACAGTACTGTCAACTGCATACCTCTAACAATACAGTCTGTGCCTCACACAGTATATGACTGTACCACACACAGTACAGCCAATATCTCGTGCAGTACAGTCTGTACCTCGCACATTAAAGCCTGTGCCTCACATAGTGCTGTCTATACCTCACAGTACTATGTACATCTTGCACATATATACAGTATATATACAGTATAGTATATATCTCATATACCTTAATATAGGATACCTTTCCTTGTTGTTTATTTCTAGCTTACTTGTTTGTTTTAACTATCCTCTGTAGGACTGGACAGCACTCTACAGTATTCCACTGTCTTCTGTAAGACTTGACTGTACTTTTGTACTCTGCTGTATTTGACTGAATTCTCTACTACTACTGTCACACTAATCTCCTCAGCTGTACTCCACAGTATTCTGTGGTACCGGACTTTATACCATAGTTTATCCACCATAGGTTAAAATACCTGCAGTAGCTCCTTTCTGATCTCTCTTGCTCGCATTCTTATGAATTCTTTATCGAGGACTTTTATACTCCTCACATAGGGGTTGACCTCATTCAGGGTCAGACCTTTGCCCTTGAAATCCATTTCACCTTCCTCACTGTAGAAGCCTGTGTCAAAGGATAAGAAGTGTTATTCACATACCGTCCATCGGTAGCTTCTCAATGCATGAGAAGTGCTGTCCTGAAAAGCCCTTATATATAAATCTTAGAAAAATAAGAATTAAAAGATTCAAGTGTCCAGAAATGAAGTGACCATCTAAGGATCATTGACTTCGGTTCTTCATGTTCAGTCCTATCTCCTCAAAATATTTAATTTTATAATTAGATTTTATTTAAGCCAGCTACTTTTTTGGCCCATAAATGAAGGCCAAATAATTATTAACAGCACCGCACTCTCACCCCGAAGTCTGTGACTCACCTGTTAGAAGCACACTGCAACCCAGCTAAGCCCCTTTCTGTCTGCTGCTGTTGTCCTGTCTGTGAGCAGGTTTCTCTCTCAAAGACTGGTTTCAGCACTGTGATAAATTCATTCACACTCTCACTTTCTGAGCCTTAGAGGAACCGTGGTGGAACTAATATAATCTTTAACTCATAACACTTAACCTAATTAATCTTTCACCACAGTTATCATTTGCAATGAAGCCAAGACAGTGTAAGAGATACCAAAAATCCCCATCTTTTTTAAAAAATTGATTCACGTTTAATAAATGTGTTAAAGATTTCTGATTTCTTATTTGAAAGCTCACAAACATAAACATAAACATATACTGTAGCTATGGAGACAAAAATCGGAGACATGATGAAGGTAAAAAGAAACTGAGATTAATGTGTGCTTGCACTTTAAAAGTCATGTTAAATTAAATAATGCAAGACGTGGGACTAAAATAGAAACTTGCTGGGTAATAAATAAATAAAACCATGTAAATCTCCTGCGCCTGCTTGTCACATGTGAAAACTACTGTGGGCTTCAATGTACACCTATATTATTTCTGCTTACATGTGTTCAATAGAACAATGTGGAAATAACAGCCCATTGCAGAAGGTATGTACTGTAGGGGAAAACAGCCACAGTATAATAAAACATAAATGTTAAAAGAAAGCTCTCCTATTGCTACCTGTATGATGACCTTGTGGCAGAAATGAGGACAGTAGTTTCAGCTAACCAGCCACTAGCAGACATTAGGGTCTCTATTGTAAGTAAATACTGTAGGTCCACAGGTGGTACAGTACATTGATTTAATTAGTTGACCTAATTAGTTAACTGGTGGAGGCTGAGAGCCACAAAATTAACATGGGAATAATTTAGACTACTAGGTTTATAAAGGAAAACTGCAATAAGTGGTGCTGGTATAGAGTAAGGCTTTGGTAGGTTAAACCTAAAAACCTAAAAGATTTTGGGGCTTTTTTTATGCTGATTAAAGTCTTGTAGCACAGTATCTTTGCTGTCCATTCTATCCTCCCGCCTCTTTAAAAGGAGGCCCAGTACAAAGTTCTTCTCCTGTTTTCCACGTTTGACAAGTTTGCTATTATGTTTTAGCAGCAGACCAAGCAAAATAAACATAATCTCAAAGATGTATTGTTTTACAGAGGAGAGTGGTCAATGACACCCAATCACCCTTATCCTACTGTCAGATGGAGTGGGTGGCTGACTCTGTCAAAGGCACTACAATGGTTGAGGATGCATCTGGAGCTGCAGCAGGCACAGACTACTGGTGGTCAAAGAGCACAACATGACTTCAATTTTTAAAACATCACACCTGTAATGTGAAGAAAGGGCTCTATCTAGCTGGACGTGGCAGGAGAAGAAACAGAGGATATTGGTGGGAATGCCAGGAAAAGACTGTCACCAACAAAAATCACCAAAAGATTTATTATTTCTTTCAGTAATTAAATTGAACAAAAGAAAACAGGATTTAATACTGCCAAGGTGAAGAGCACATAGTTGTTCAGCTGGCTTGGTAGCCCAGGAACTTCATTACTTATAAACAAGTCACCACCAATTACCCTCCATAGTCTTACTTGGCAGGTTATTCCACAACTTAAGATCTTTATTTCAACCTATGAAAATATTTTAACCAGTTTCTTCAATCATGGGATATTCCAAAGTCTTCTTTGGTCTACACAAGCCCTGTGACTCTGTTAAAGCAGAAAACCAACTATAGTAAGGTTGTTACTCTTTGAAAGCATGGGAATTTAACTCATTATGATTATAAACACATTGTCCAACATTATGATAACTTATTTGATATCTGAATATCTTTAGAAACCATAGAGTGAATCCTGAGGTATTCAGGGCTTGATCCTGTTGAATTCCATGTGAATCCAATATGAATTTATAGCCATTATTTTAAGATAATGTAAGACTTAAGACTGTAGATATGGAAACATCAATAAGCATGTTCAGTGAAAATCTTTTTGGTTTGTAAAATTATGTGCCAACCTAGTGGGTGTAATCTCAACCAAGAGCTCCTGGCTGGGCTCGAATTGTGCTGCTACCATTTGTGCATCTGCTGACAAATGCATTTGCATGTATTAGTTCAAGCATAGTTACCGGTGTAATAAGATGACAACCTTACTTGTGTTAGCACTTGAGCATCATGTGTGTTTGAAATAGGGGATGTACTGTAGAGAAGCCTAGCCAAACGAGACCCCCTCATACAGCTATTATACACAGATGAGACCTCTTTTGCTTTACATCATTGTATACATAGTTGAACATGGATAATAATAATACATTCCCGGCAACTATTACTGTCTAGTACATCACAACAATCGTTGGCGTTACACAACAAATTGACTCGGAAAAAAAGGACAGAAATCAGTCTGTATATTTCCATGTTTTTTCCACCCTCACTGCCAGCACTTCAAGTGGCAGGAGAACAGCTAATTTAAGTTGCTCAGTATTACTCAGTGTTCTGTTTTGGCCAGCAGGACTTGACTGGTTATGCTTTATGGAGGTGGGGACAGGGGGGAATCAAGTGCAACTCAGTGCTGCAGGAATGATCACACCAATGTGAACATCGAGCCTTTGGAAGGTTTAAAACCACAGTTAAGTTGTGAACAGGGGTGGCCTTATTAGACTTCTTCCTTAGCAGACACAAATTACATATGACAAACTGAAGGATTCAGATGTGGCTGGACTGAAAAGGGACTGAGGCTTCTTCAAAATCTTGTGCTAACAGAACAGGGGCCACTCCAGCAGAGCTCTATTTAGATCTTCCATGAGAAGAGAAATACAAAGCTTAGTGGAACCTCAAACGAACTGGAGAGCGTCTTTGAACATAAAGTGCTAAGAGTGGTTTGCCAAGCTGAGATGGTGAATCCAGTGCTCTGGGACCTTTCCAGAACAGTGTGTTAGTTCAGGTCAGACAGGTTCCAGCAGCCAAATGATTGTATTTAAAGACCTGAATGTGTGTCTTGGTCTGTGACTTGGCTTCTGGCTTTCCTTAATGACACATTTCTGAGGTCAAATACTGTCCAAGGAGTAGAAAGGCATGTAACAGTCCCTCAGCTCTAGGGGATGGCAGATCCCCTAGAAGCTTTCAGGTGAGAGTGTGAGAGGAACTAGGAGGGGAAGGAGGGTGTGAAGAAGGAGGTGATGGGAAATCTCCCCTGGAGAGAAGGGAGACGCTGGGAGACACTGAGGTGAGGGGAGGATGAGGAGAATCCCGAATGATGTGTTAGTGAGGAATCCAAGAGAATGTGGAAGTTGACTGCAGACTCCTCAGCTGTTTTTCTTTTCTGGACACTGGATCTTATAACCCACCCTGTAGGCTTGGAGGTACACACGTGCCTGGTTGATTCTGGAATGAAAACAGTAGCTCATTATCTCAATTAGCTTTTACTGGTAAAACAGTATCTAGTAAAAAAAGTGTCTATAAGTGCTTCCTGTGATTTGAAGTCTACAAAAATTATCATTCAAAGGACCGTAACAGACCATCTGTCAAGGTTTGAAAACTGTTACCCACAACCCCCTTCAACAATATATACAATGTTTAGTTGTGGAACAATTACAAAATTGCTTACTTACTTAAAATCAACACACTGTGATGTCAGCACACAGCAGACCTTGTGAAGACTGACAACACTACAATGTCTCCACACAGGCAGCTGCCTACACTGTTTTAAGGGCAAGTCAAGATTAAAGTCACCTAAGACAATGGTAAACACTCAACCAATTCTGAATTTTCACAAACAAAACCGTGCTACTCAAGTTAAAGATTCATGACATTTAACTGATTAACATGGGCTTAACATGATCATGAAAAGCTTTCTATTATGACAATACCAAGGTTAAAAAAAATCCAGATAAGAAAAGAACAACATGAACAGATCTAAGCATGACAGATAACTATGGTCTTAAATCTGCCAGGACAATGTTTGTGTACCTGTACTTGGTGCACAGCTGGACTCCCAGGGGTCCACAGCGATCCACATAGCTCTCCCTCACCCCCCTGCGCACTGCCCGTGCTGTGCTCACCACTGTGGTCACAATAGGACAAATCCTGGACAGGCGGAAATGACAGAGAGATGGACGATAAGGGATACCAGAATTCAACCTATGCAGTTCCCTAGAATTACTAACGGAAGACTACTCAGGCCTTGCATATCATGTCAACAGTAGCTCTATGGTACAAGAAATAAATCACTATACATGATACACAGCACAGGTTGTGTTTGTTCCAAACACCCACAACACTACTGGTGAAGACATCTGAGTGCTGTGACGCGTGTCTCCTAATGTTAGTGAAAGGCTCTGTTTGGTTGAGGTACTCACAGCTTCTCACAGCGCATGCCTGTTGTGCCCTCTGGACAGCTGCACTTGTTGAAGGGGGCACAGGTGGCGCCATGCTGGCAGGGTGGCACACAGGGTGTTGTCACAGCTGCAAATAACAGTAGTGGGTCAATGTACTGCCTGCAAAGGTTCAACACGTCCACAAACACCTGCTGTGTCCCAGGTTAATTAGTGCAGAAACAACTTGCAAAGCAGCGCTCTCAGACTACAAAGGGATTTATCAATGAGATCACATTCTGTACAGAACACTCATTCTCTTTGATTCTAACCACGGGTATCAAAAAGTGTTAAAGTCTGCAAAGGACTGGGTCCATGTGGGAAGTCGCAGCCTTGCACTCTAGGATTCTGAAATAAATGTCTATGGCATGACCTTTTCAAGAAATAAGCAAGCTTTTTGATGGAGGATGGATAGATCTACTGTACAAAAATCAACAAAAAGCAGAATATGCAAATCTAGAGGTTCTATTCCATGTTTTAGTGTGTAAAACACTCCAGACACTACAGTGAATTCATTTTTTATTTTTCCCATTACTGTGAGCATGAAGCTTGTAAGCTGAAATACACTATATCCCATGAATCTATTAAGAGAGATGATCAGGCTTTCACCTGAAAGCATGTATTAGAGATAGACAACATTTATTAGAGTGCTGCATATTTTCAAAGATGAACATAAAGACTTCATGAAACTCTTTGAGAACACTTGTCATCTCTCCCAGTGCAATAAACTCTTTAATGGACTGAACACCCAAATTAAAGCTACCCTGCAGATGAATGAGTTATTCGTAATAAGGACATGTTTCTCTGTCTTGACACCTGTAAAAGTCTTTAACAATTTAAATTGACTTTTTCAGGAGCCCTGGTTAATCATAGAATGTGTCCCAGCAGCTGACACTTTTACATCATGTAAGAGGTCATCTGAGAGCCAAGCAGATGGCTTTGTGTGATTTATTAAGTTACCAGCATGGATGATTTCAGCAATTTTCAAAACTGGGGCCTATGACCCCTTTCTTTGCTGGCTAAGGCTCTCAGGACAGAGTACCACTGGCCAGACAGAGAGACTGAACATCTGTTGAACTTAGAGCTTAGAGGGGAGGCTCATCAGCCTCTTGTCCCATTAGGGCAACAGGAGAACTATTAACTATGTTCTTTTCAGTGTGTGATTGTGTTACAGCTAGAACAGCTAGACACAGTTTTATTTTGATTAAATCCTAATGATTTTTTTTTTAAAGCACCAGATAATCATAAACATTTGAGTGTCTTACAATCACTCTGCATAAAAGAATAAGGTTCTAAATAGTGTCTAGGGGTATGAGTTTAAAAGTATAGTTTGACAGTAACCAAGAGCCCTTTGCTACTTTTACAGAATGGTTCACTAAATATCTGTAAACTTCAACTAGAATATGTGACTAAACTTGTGCAAAATGTCTGCATTCCTATAGCGACTGCAGAGCAATATTATTTAGCCCCATTGCTTTGGCAAGAAATGTACAGTCCTGACAATTACTGGCTAGAGAAGTGGGTGTAACAGGGGTGTACTGTTTGTTTTTTTGCTAAAAAGAACAAACATTAACTGTACTGAACACGACTGATGGGGCAGAACAACCCCTATTGTGTTCCAGCACTATCACAGACAGATGAGCAAGGCTCCGACAGAGAGATGAGCATGCAGCAATCAACCAGTCAAAAAGCAACAGGTGTCCTGAGAAGAAAAATATCTGTGTAACAGGCAGGGTTCAAAAGTAAGAAACCTTTAGTTAACTAAACTGAGACAGTTGAGTGATGCAGGCAGTAGCTAAAACGTGTACCAACAGGAATTCTACAAAATATTCTTGCTTCAGATTAATTCCTTATTCATTCTGAGTACCTGCAGAGTCAGTGGTTGCAGTTTATTTTTCATTAGACGCTCCAAGGAATCTGTGAACTGATAGCAGGCTTATTGTGCGATTTGCCTGTCACCCACTTACCTGTCTCACACAGGGCACCCGTGAAGCCACTGGCACAGCGACAGCGGTTAAGACCCACACACACCCCATTGTTCTTACAGGCCACCTGGCACAGCACGGGCTCTTTGAGAAGCAGACAGACACACAGTCAAACCTTGACAGACTTTCACAAGTGTTTCAGGTGGGTAGCTGCGTCAGCATGCGTAGGCTGCAAAGGAACAAGTAATAGGTTTATTCCATGCTGAAAAAAAGAAGAAAGAAAACACAACGTTTCGTCCGTGGGGCCTTCTTCAGGTGTGAGGACTTTATTTATTTTTAAACACTTTACTTGCTCACACCTGAAGAAGGGCCCACGGCCGAAACGTTGTGTTTTCTTTCTTTTTTTTCAGCATGGAATAAACCTATTACTTGTTCCTTGTTTGAGATTGTTTGACTGCCATTAGGAAAATTTAAAAACATCTAAAGACATTTAAGATATGATAAAGACTTATGTGTTGTTTAAATGTATAAATTTTAAATATGTTGTTATACAATGGCTGTACTTCATTTCAGGTTACCTTAAAAACCTTCAAAACCTTCAAAAGACAGGTGTCCTGTCAATCATATGATTTAAGTAATGATTCACTCATTATTTGAGTGAGCAGAAAAAAAACAATGACCTGAAAATCTATCACAGATTTGATTAAACAATTTTAAGTTGCAATGAGTAGAAAGGAAAATGTACTCCTGCTTTACTAGTGGGATGCTTTCATTGTCTCCCATCACCCCACTCTACCCCTTTAGTCAGCACTGTGTTAGTATCATAGGACTCAGTGTGCCGAGCCAGTTACAAGACTGATGTCAACCCCCTCTGTCTTTGGTGCAGTGCTGAGTGTGCATCGAATTAGATCCTAGCAATGGCAGGGGGGGCTACACTAGTCACAGTGGTACCTATCTGACAGCGGGCACCCTGCCAGCCCCGGACACAGGTGCATTTGTTGACATCGACACACCTTCCTCCATTCAGACAGGGCGGGGTGCAGGTGGCTGGAGAGAGGAGAGAGAGATTAACCATGATCACTACACTGATCCACCTGAAAGAGTATCTCTGTGTCCCTCTCCCACTCTTTTCATCAAGCACTGTTGAATTTCTGAGTCAAGGCTGTGCACTTGAACTGTTCAGGGTCCTGTATTTATTACTCTCTGAGAATAACGCAGTTCTGTCCAAAGACTGATACAGAAATACTTTGACCTTGCATGTGGACATCAGTGATGCATTCCCCATCTGTGACTGCAGGAGGTACTCACGAGTCAGGCACTGCGAGCCGGTGTAGTCATAGGGGCACTGGCATGTGTCTGGGGCAATACAACGCCCTCCGTTGGCGCAGGGCAGCTCGCACACCGCTGAAGGGAGAGGAAGGGCAGCAGTAAGGGAGACAGACAGGGAAGGCAACCTGAGAGGCTGGAAGAGAAAATCATCGAATGAGAGAGATTACAGCAGAGTGAAGAGTCTGACGTAGAGCTGACAGAGGAGGAGATGCTGGTAGCCAAGGGACAGAGAGACAGGAGGACAATGGATATCACAGGGCAACAAGGCCAGAAGCGATGGAAAGGAAAAAAATGGGAGAGTAAGGCAAAAGTGGGAGAAGAGAGGTGAGACAGAGAGAAAGTGAGAGCCAGTGAAACTGAGCAGTAAGGATTACCAGTGTGGCAGCCTGGACCAGTCCACCCTGGGGGACACAGACAGGTGTTCCAGCGCATACATGAGCCTCCGTGAGCGCAGGGAGGAGAGCACATGGCTGAAACACACACAAATGATAATAAGACACACAACTGATGACTAATGAATGCATATAATGTATATATGTAACACACACAAACACATACAGACAACACTCATCCGACACACATTAAAAACACAAAAAAACAGATTTTACGCATTGCAGAGTTGCAAGCTACGGGCGCCAGGCAGGATACACCCTGAACAGGACTCCAGTCCTTCACAGGGCGAACACAGACACTAGTACACTCAGACCATGGCCATACAGGGGAGTCAGAACCTATTGCAACAAGGAGCGATTCACAGGGGATTCGCTGGTCTATGGGTACGATTCTCCCTGTGGGTGCAAGAGGTTTGGGGTTCGAATTCCCGACAAGCTCTTGCATGCTGTTTTTTTCCACACCCATTATCTTGGGAATCAATATTTAAAACTGCTACTACTAGTATGTTTTTGAACCATGGAAGGAAACAGGAGCACCCAGAGGAAACCCACGCAAACAAAGGGAGAACATGCAAACTCCACACAGATAGCACCCCAGGAATTGAACCCAGGGCCCCAGCACTTTGAAGCAGTAATGCTCACCACCGCACAACTGTGCCACCCTGGTAACTCATCTAGTAAAACCAAGACACCGAAACTGACTCATTAATCAAAATCATTTTACACTGTTCACACAAAAAGACACTCAATAACAAGCACAGCAAAGTACCTGAACAGCCAGGACCAGGGTAGCCCGCAGGACAGTCACAGCTGTTGGGAGCAGCACACACACCTGAGTTCTGGCAGGGGGGGTCACACACCGCTGTGGGGAGAGACAGAGAGATCGGGCTGTTTTAGCTGTGAGAAAGACTGAGAAGCAGAGAGGATGAAGAAGAGGAAGAGATTTTGAGAAACGTACGTGGGGGGAGACAAGCCTTACTGAGAATCAGATACTTTTAAAACAAAGTTCCAAGATACTTTGTGTAAGGGCTTACTCTTTAAACTTCACATGAGGTTAGTGAGAAGTATTTTTAAAAATTCAGGAATTGCAGTAAGCCATGTAAAGTGATTATAGTTACTAAAGTATGTAAAGTAATACATTACTTATTTAAAGTAATTTCCCCCTACTTTTTTTTAGTTCAAAAAGTAACTCATTACACAAGTAACTTGTAACGTTAATGATGCCATTCCCCCCCACCACTACCACTCACCTGTTCCTTAGCCAGCCTCATTGCTGGGGACATTTTCTCAAGCTTCTCAGCCTAACTGCATGCTTAGGGCTAAAGTCATTATGATCAGCAACTTTGATTAACCTCCTCTTCCCATTTCTAGAATGGCTCTCATTGGCAATCAGTGACTGATTAAGCTTCTCTGCATTGTTCGTATCCTATGTGCTGTCACTGCTTCTAAAAAAAAAAGGCTGTACCCAAGCTAATATAATCTTGCTGTCCCAATGTGATGAGTTTTGATTTTGATTCTGAGAGAAACCGACACAGAGCAAATCACACACAGAACAGCCTGACTCACGCTGGCACTTGGCTGGGTCATCGGTACGAGGTTCGTATCCCTTTCTGCAGCTGCAGTTGAATCCCCCAGGGTGGTTCAGGCACAGCTGCTCACAGCCTCCGTTAGTGAAGTCAGCACACTCATCCACATCTGTACAGGGCGAGAGCGCACGCTGGCTTGACAAAGCCTAGCAAGAGCCAGTGTATGTTCCCCCTCTGGACAAGGAATTGTCCATTGCGTATTGTATCCTCTTTTTCATCTCCTCCACCTTTCTTCCTCTCTCTTTTCTCCCTTTCATTCATCCCCTTCTTCATATACCTTCTCCTCCCCCAATTTCACTTCCCTTTCTCTAGTCGTGGCATTGACTCCTCTCTCACCCTGACAGCTTCGGCGATCAGCGCCCAGCTCCCATCCTGCCCTGCAGCTACAGAGTGGCTGGCCCTCGCTGAGCTCAGTGCAGGCATGGGCACAACCGCCGTTCCTCAGGGCACATGAGCTGACATCTGAAGGACAGGGAACGTGGGTTAAGAACACAAAGAAGGTTTTTCACTGAGAAAATGCCACCTGCCCAATCACAGCTAAGCAGTTTCTTATGCACTATGTCAGTGGTTCTCAATCCTTTTGCTAAAGGCCCCCTGTGTCTGCTTTTTTTCTTTTTCCAACTGGACCTTGAATCACCAGTGCTTACTGGTGCCTCTAAATCATAAGCTTACTGGTTTAGACTTTTTTGCGCTCAGTCCCTGGTTTCAAAAGTTATTGTTTTTTATTCAACAATGTCATCATACAGCATAGCACATAGTCTCTCCTCAACTTGCACCTTTATTCCTGGCTAAACTTCTCTTAATAGATGAGGAATAGACACAGGTGGGAATTCCACTGCTTCCCACAGACAATGTTTGTCATTCTGCTTATGTAAAATTCTTCTAATTCAGCTGACACACTTCAAAGACGGCCGTCCTGAAAAGTGTTAAATAGCACTCATACCAATCTTAAATTTAATTCAGCTTTCGAAGAGCTGATAGCAAATTTATAAAAAGTGTTAAAAAACATCCCAGGAGCCGGCTTCAGAACCACTGTACTGGGAATTCTTTAAAAACGAAGGCCTGAGTACCAAAAAACAAGCAAGTAGATCAATTACTGACTGTAATTTACACTGGTGAGTAAAGGCCCAGTCAGAACAAAAACAAACACATACAGGGGACCTCCAGGACCAGGAATGAGAACCACTGCACTAAGTGATATGGTCACAGTTGGAAGTTTAATTTGAAGAAGCTTCATGTTTCCACAAACTACACAAAACAATCAGCACAGATACAGAGAGAGGGATTCACAAGAATGAAAAGCAGAGGGACACCCCTTCCCCAACAGGGATCTAGCGACGGATCTAGTACTCACTAACACAGGTCCTGTTGTCCATGTTGAGGAGCAGGGGTTTTGGACACTCGCACTGGTGTCCCCCAAGGGTGTTGAAGCAGCTGTGGGAACAGCCTCCGTTCTGCAGTTTGCACTCGTCCACATCTGGGGACAACATACATGTATGTGCACAGCAACAAACACACTGAGATACACAGTGCACAAGCGGATTCATACACATGCATGTGCACATACTGTACTGTACATCTGCCTGCACCTCACACAGCCTCTCAGCCACCAGACTCACCCACACAGCGGCGGTTGTCCACATGCAGCTGGTACCCTGGGCGGCAGGAGCAGAGGAAGGAGCCCTCCGTGTTGGTGCAGATCTGATCGCATGTTCCGTTCACCAACACACACTCATTCACGTCTACAGGGAGAGGGGTGCACAGAGAGGCAGGCAGGAAACAAGTGAAAGGGAAAAGTAAGGAGAATTGTTGAGTTACAGGTGCAAATCCTCCAGGCTGAGACTGCCTGCGATGAGCCCCTACTTGGCTATGTACCTGTGCAGTTGTGGCCATCCTGGGAGAGCTGGTAGCCCTGCTGGCAGTGGCACTGGTAGGCGCCAGGCTCATTGCTGCAGTTTTGCTGGCACTCTCCATTGTTCAGGGCACACTCGTCCACATCTGCAACCCCAACCACAGCTTCATCATCACTGACCAAAATAATTCTCAGATTCTCATATGTCTTATTCTTTTCTTACAAATAATTCAATATCTTTACTTATGTCTCAGCTTCTTCATTGTTTTACATCATCAATTTGAATTAGGCACCTCTGTTCTCATTTTGAACTGCTATTGAGTGAGTATGTTCACATTCCCCAGAGTCTCTCACAGTGTCCCTGGGAACACATCTTGGAATAGTCGTTGTGCCACACTGCCCCCTTTCATCACTGAGGGGAATGTGATGTTGGAATACAGCAGGCCCAAGCTCTATCATTTTCATTAGGAGTGCTCTGAGGGACATTAAGAAATACAGTACCAGAAAATCATTCTTAGTTCTTGAAGTGTGCTTCAAACTGGAGACACAATTGCCCTTTTATAAAACAAAATTGGTTTGCAATCTAAAACATGTTTCCAATATTTGAATGTATCTTTTCTAAAGGGACCTGGTTCCTCAGAGGCACTCTTGTCTGGAGAAGGAAAGCTTTGCTCTCAGCCTCTCTCCTGACTTCCCTTGTCTTGATGGAACACAGCCTTGCTGTTCACTATTTGACATGAGTATTGCTGTTTGCATCTGAGACCCCCCGCCAGGCTAGTTCCTGAGCTGGGCAGGCTTCATTACCGAAGCAGGAGTGCCCATCGCCAGCAAAGCCCTGGTAACACTGACAGAAGTAGGAGCCGATGATGTTCCCACAGCGAGCGTTGACGTCACAGCCGTGCCTGCCTGAGGCACACTCGTTCTCATCTGGGCAGGAGGGAAGAAAAGCGAGGAAGAAAAAGGAGAAGAAAAAAGGGTTAAGGTCAAAACCCACCATTGGCAGCTGTTGAGGGAAGGCAAAAGCCCCTTTATGGGGATTTTCAATTATTCTCCCTATCTGAGCACATCAGGAAATGCTCAGAACATTGGGAAATAACACCAATAACAAGGTGACATGCCCTCCAGCTTTTCCCTTAATTTTCAATCATTTCAGTAGCATTGAGGGTGCCAGCTGGAAAACCTCTTGAATTAACAGCAGCAATATCACTCTGCAACTCACAACTCACAACTGGCAACCCACTGAAGCTAAGCAGGTGTGAGCCTGGTTAATACCTGGATGGGAGACCTCCTGGGAAAAACTAAGGTTGCTGCTGGAAGAGGTGTTAGTGGGGCCAGCAGGGGGCACTCACCCTGCGGTCCATGTGGGTCCTAATGCCCCAGTATGATGACAGGGACACTATACTGTAAACAGGTGCCATCCTTTGGATGAGATGTAAAATCGAGGTCCTGGCTCTCTGTGGTCATTAAAAATCCCAGGCTGTTTCTCGAAAAGAGTAAGGGTGTTACCCCGGTGTCCTGGCCAAATTTCCCATTGGCCCTTACCAATCATGACCTCCTAATAATACCCATCTATGAATTGGCTTCATTACTCTGCTCTCTTCCCCACTAGTAGCTGATGTGTGGTGACGATTCTGGCATGCTGCACATTGGTGGTGGTGGAGTTTAGTCCCCATTACCTCTAAAGCGCTTTGAGTGGAGTGTCCAGAAAAGCGCTTTAGAGGTAATTGTGTAGCAATTATTATTATTATTAGTTTGTCCTCACGTGTCACCTCTGACACAAACACACAAGCACTTTGCTGCTTTTTTCCATGGAATGCTATAGTAAGTTCCCAGTCTCCCTGAGAGAATATCGATGAGTCTTTTGCCATCTGTAGCAACTTCTCAAGGCTTCTGCTCCTGCCTGTGACAAATCTTGTTCAGTGTCGCTCCTGTTGTGCCCGTTGTCCTAGCTCCCTGGGTTTGTGTGTGTGTATCAGTGCTCCAGTCCCTCCCCCTGTCTGCGTGCTCACCTTCGCAGTGTGTGCCGTTGCCTCTGTACCCAGGCTGGCAGACACACCTGTAGCTGCCCAGAGTGTTCTCACACACCCCCTGTCCAGCACAGATATCGGGGGTCTCTGTGCACTCGTCCACATCTACAAAAGACAGGGAGAGAGAGGCAGAGGAGTTGTTACTGTCTGCTGACTGAAAATAAAATGGGTCCATAACCTTCATTTCATTTTTCTTTTTTAAAGCCCATTAGGTCTTTAATCGTCTATATTTTCTAGAACTACAGCAAGAAGTGCTGGTGTGAAGGCCTCACCAGAGGAGGGAGCGAAAGGTTCCCCGTCCATAAAAGACAGAAACTAGAATTGTTATTGTAAGTGTGTAACTATGGTGATTTTCTGTATTCATGGCGTGCAATGATACAGGTTAATAATTAAAACTGGATAAAAAAAAGTTATTTAAAATGATCAGACATCAAGATTATACATTACTCTACACGATAACATCACTGGGATAATGTGAACCTGACTGAACTGGATTCTGAAGTCTGAAGTCTTTAGTAATAAAAAATTATAAACCCAAACAGCCGTGCGCTTGCACTACATAGCGACATGCACTACTATGCAAGGCTCCAGAGCAGTGTGATGTGCAGCAGTGGTCTCATACAGTCCTTGCAAGGGTCGGAGGGAACGGAGTGAGATACTATACCTTGACACACAGTGTAGTCTGCGCACACTGGGCCTATAAAGTGGCACAGGCAGGGGCAGGTGGCAAGGGGGCAAGCCAGAGCAAGGGCACACATGCAAAGAAGAAAATACAGACACAAGCATGTCAGGGCAGAGCTGGGTTGAAAGCTGAGCTGGGGGCAGGAACAGACTTTCATGACACAGCAGTTCCATCGATGTAAGTTTTAGGAGATGCATGCATTTGCACAAACAGTTCAGAGAAGCCAGACAGTATTTCTTTAAGTTTATCTGCAATTGTTGTGTAGCCTTTTTCCTTTACAAGCAATGCATGTAGGACTGAGTGGGATAACTCAAACATACAATTCCGAGCACAGAACATAGCCAGCAGGACAACATTCTCATAAGGATGAAGCTTAAACGAATGTCAAAACCTCACAAAGCCACTGCAGTCTCTGTAAGAACTGGCTGAAAGCACAAGATGGTTAATAGACATTTTAACAGTCGGATTTACAGACACACTAGATTGATCATGCTGAAAACTACTTTTATTAAATCAAAACTGCCAACTGTATGCCAGTTGCACATTATGAGCTGAGTACTTGATGATGCATCCCAAAAGATTGAGTCTGGGACAAGCTACCCAGTCATGTTGTAGAAGCCAATATCCTGGCTTCTTTCAAGAAATGTTCTGAATGATGATCTTGGATCAGCCAATTACAAATGGACTAGAGTGGCTGAATGGTCTCCTCTTATTTGTAACCTTTCTCATGTTCTAATGCTGATGGTTTTCTTATGGATAGAGGCAAGAAGTCTCTGGCCTACACAAGTCTGCCATCCAGTATTGGGCCTATGTTTTCATGGGCCAATGGAGATGACAGAGAGCCACAAGAACAGGACAATTACAAGGTAAGTCCAGCTCAAATACAGAGAGACGAACAGGACAAAAGACAAATTCATCGAGAAAGACAGGGAGACTGATATGGAGACCTTGATGAACAGACAAACATGCACCCTGAGCCAGAGAAGACAAGAACAAAAGGGAGACTTGAGCAACAGGGCCAATGAGAAGCCGAGAGACGAATGAATAAGAGTGAAAAGTAGAGACAGAGGGACAGACAGGCATTACAATAGTGACTGGCACTCCAGTACCAAACAGACCACGGACAGACGAACAGAAACACACCATAATTGGAGAGTGAGACATACGCTGTAATGTAGAAAGACAGAACAACAGTCTCACCCACGCAGGCTGGCTTCTCAGCCCTGAAGCCCTGCTGGCACTGGCAGGTGTAGCTCCCTGGGGTGTTAACACACATGTTGCCCAGTTCCTTGCGGCACTGCTCTTCAAAACTGCACTCGTCCACATCTGACAAGGACAGGCAGCATGAGCACAGTATGTATAGATCCTATAGACTTAGTCTGAGAGAGGGCTGAAGAAAACAAGTGGTGCATCACCGCGCGATACAGGAAGGCTGTAGTTTGATACAATACAATACACTTTTTAAACCCCAAGGGGCAACTGAGCTGATGATTTTTTAATCATTGTTTAATACTAAAAATTGCTTAAACTTATAGTGCTTTCCTGTACACTCCACTGAAAGCACTTTACAGGTAATGGGGACTCCCCTCCACCACCACCAATGTGCAGCATCCACCTGGATGATGCGACGGCAGCCATAGTGCGCCAGAACGCTCACCACACATCAGCTATCAGTGGGGAGGAGAGCAGAGTAATGAAGCCAATTCATAGATGGGGATTATTAGGAGGCCATGATTGGTAAGCGACAATAGGAAATTTGGCCAGGATGCCGGGGTTACACCCCTACTCTATTTGAGAAATGCCCTGGGATTTTTAATGACCACAGAGAGTCAGGACCACGGTTTTACATCTCATCTGAAGGACGGCGCCTGTTTACAGTATAGTTTCCCCATCACTATACTGGGGCATTAGGACCCACGTGGATCGCAGGGTGAGCACCCCTGCTGGCCCCACTAACACCTCTTCCAGTAGCAACCTTTGTTTTTCCCAGGAGGTCTCCAATCCAGGTACTGACCAGGCTCACACCTGCTTACTGTAGCTTCAGTGGGTTGCCAGTTGTGAGTTGCAGACTGATATGGCTGCTGGCTGTTTGACATGGACAATGACAATGTAACTAAAATGGAATGACAAGAAGACCCTGCAGTTCTCTAGGTGATGGGCTACCCACCCAGAAAACTACTGAAGACAAGAACAAAGCTGAGGACAGAAGGCTTCTTGTTATAGAGTGAAAACCTTAACATTACTTAAGATGCTCAGATCCTTCAAAAAACATTTGTTTTCGACAGTTTAGTTGTTTATTTTATGACCCTTTAATGGGTGAATGGCAGTCATTGTACTTTTGCTGTATCTCAGCTTAGCAAAACCTTAATTCTCCTCTGGGTACAGTAGCATCAAAATTCACCGTATATATATGAAATGTTGGAGTTTCCTTACTACAATCTGTTCACCTGCATTCTGAAAGAATGTTGCCAGATGTTTCATTTAACAACTGGCAAAAGTTATCAACAGATTTTAAATTATTAGCAGATTTTAATGTTTTTAACTAGGAAAGGGACTGGGTCAAATATAGAAGATGCCATATGTCAAAACATTAGCATCAGATTTGAAAAAGCTTAGATCAATTTTCAGAATGCAGGCTGGATGTATGCATGGATACAACATGAAGCCAGAGAAGCCATGATAACCAGAGGGAATTCTCTTTACAGGCTCTGTGAGTGCCAAACTAGATGTTGCAGAATCTAGTTTCTGTATGAGATTCAGAGGCTTTACTACTTTGAACATTAAAAGCAACTTTTTTCAGTTAATAAGAGCCATGATTAGTGTAATAATATGTCCTTCTTCCATGTGTGGTCTTTTATATAAAGACTGGAGTCAGTCATTTTATTGCATTCAGTAAATGATAGGCTCTAGGAGCTATGAAGCTACAGTAAGCTATTCATCTCATTAACACTGATAGAAAAGTGGGAGAAGGAGAGCAATCTCTTGGTGAGAATATAAAGAACAATCTGTCACATTCACAACTGAGTCATTCAAAAACACTGCCTGATGAGACACAGAGCTGTACTTGTGGGGGAAGTAGGGAGATAAATGGATGTGTACTTTGAATGCAGTTCTCAAAGCAAAGGAAAACAGACAATATAACAACAAAAGGTTTCTTATACAAATCACTCCACAGTGCTGAGAAAATGTTTGTGAACACCCCAGACTCATAAACTTTACACCTAAAACATATTTACATATTCATGAAAGTTCTTGCCACAAAGACATAAAATATGTTTGGATTATTTAATTAATAAATTGATCCAACAGTAAATATTTTTGTATGAATCAGTAGGTGAATCCACAGTTTCAGTGTCTGGTGGTACCTGCTGGAACAATAATGACTTAAACGTGTCCTGTAACTGTTTCTCAGATCAGCTTTTAGGAATTATGGCCCATTTCTTCCTTACAGAACTGCTTTAAGTCAGTGATATTTAAGGGTTTCCTTGCATGAACATGAAGACAATTCAGACCATGCCATAACATTTAGGTCAGAATTCTGATATGGCAAAGAATGCCACATGCAAAGTGGGAAAAAATGCAAAGATTAGTCTTCTTTGGCCATTCTGTTGTAGATCTGCTTGTACTGTATGTCAATGATGGCAATGAGATTAGGCTGTCCAGTTGCTGCAGCAGCAAATCAGCCACAAATCATGATACTCCCACCACCATGCCTGATGGTTGGAATGAAGTTCAGTCATTGCAGCCAAAACGTTAAACTTTTGATTTGTCTGTCCAGAGAATATTCTTTCAGCAGACTTGTGGATTATCTAGGTGGCCTTTCACAAGCTTAAGAAGAGTGGCAATGTTCTTTTAAGGGAGGAATGATCTCTTCCTTGCAACCCTTCCATGAAAACCATGTCAATTCAGTCCTCTTCTGATGGTTGAGGCAAGAACCCTGACATTAGCCACAGTAGGAGAGGTCTGCTGATCCTTAGCTGCTACTCTGGGCTTCTTGGAACACCAGTTTTGATTAAAGAAGGGTATCACGGTAATAAAGTGTAATTCTATTGAACATGCACAAATGATTTCTTTATACTGTAACTTATTTTAAGTTATGGTGTGAATTGAAAGAAATTTGAGGCCTGTATAATTGGCTTATTATTTAAATTCACTGTCCATTTCATTCTTGTATGTTACTATAAGCCCCTGTCCCGTTATGAGACTCACACTGGTGTGCAGCTGCAGCACCTCACCCAGGTCAGACTCACCCACACAGCTCTTGCCATCCAGAGCCAGAACAAAGCCTTTAGGGCAGGAGCAGGAGAAGGAGCCAGGAGAGTTCTGGCACTGTGACCCCTCAAAGCATGCCTGCAGCCCTGTCACCTGGGCTAGCTGACACTCGTCCACGTCTGCGAGGAACAAACACACAAGGGGGCAACAAGTGCAAAAAGATAAAACACACATATTAATAAAACTGTGTCTCAGTTCATTACTCTTTACTTCCCTAGTGCCAATCTATAGGTCTCCCTTAATTAATCTTGGCAGATTTTCCTGGTTAAACAAAGAATAAATTAATAAAAACACTGCAGACATGCCCCTGTGTTCTTTAGGTCATTTTGCTTGTCACCCTTTTCTACTCACCTTCACAGCCCCCTGGCCCCCATAGATACCCCCTGTGGCACTGGCACAGGAAGGAGCCTGGGGTGTTGGTACAGTTAGCATGGCGTCCACAGGGGTCTGTCCTGTCCACTGCACACTCATTGACATCTAGGAGGTGACCAAGAGAAAGAGCAACATGAAGAGTGTCTTGGAACAGCGATGGACTGCAGTTCTGTGAAACAGTATTCCCCTCCTTTCAGAACTTACAGTCATGCTTGAAAGTTTGAAAGGTGGTCATTATTTTAGATATTACAGGGATATTATATGAACCTGGACTCTTAATGAATATATAGAATTAATATCCTAAATAACAACTCATAGATTATTATACTGTGATAATTAACAAATCACAAGATATTCTTGTGTGCAAAAGTAAATGAACAGTCAATAACCTGTGGCACCTCCTTTACCAGGAATTAGCACCTCCTATAATCAATTATCAGTCTCTGACATCTTGCTGCAGGGATGTTTCCCCACTCCTCTTTACAAAACTGCACCAACTCTGTGAGGTTTGAAGGATATCTTGCATGCACAGCACTCTTCAGGTTCTGCCACAGCAATTCAGTAGGATTCAGGTAAGGGCTTTGGCTTGGCCATTCCAGGACATGGAACCTCTTCTTCCTAAGCCATTCTTTAGTGGACTTAAGTGAATGTTTTGGATCGTTGTCTTGTTGAAACATCCACTTTGTGCCCAGCTTCAGTTTTTGAACTGATGGCCTAACATTCTTCTCAAGAATTCCTTGATATTTCTCAGAATTCATGATTCCCTCAATGATGTCACGTTGCCCAGGCAAGAGTCAGAAAACCAGCCCCATACAAGGACACTCCCACCACCATGCTTGACAGTAGGGATAAGGTTTTGTTGGTGGTAGGCTGTGTTGGCTCTTCGCAAAACATGGACCCTCTTGTTGTGCCCAAATAGTTCAATTTTAGACTCATCTGTCCAGAGAACAGACTTCCAAAACTCTTCAGGCTTGTCCAGGTGATCTCTGGCAAACTTCAGATGGGCAGCTATGATCTTTTTTGACAGAAGAGGCTTCCTCCTGGTGACCCTTCCATAGATGGCATTTCTGTTCAGGGTTCTTCTCATTGTTGATATTTGCACCACTACTCCAGAGGCAGCTAAGGAGGCTTGAAGATCTCTGGATGTTATTTTAGGATTACCTTTTATCTCTTTATTATTCTCCTTGTGGCCCTGGGTGAAGTTTCAGAAGGACGTCCACTTCTTGGCAGGGTTGCCATTGTTTTAAATGCCCTCTACTTGTATACTATTTGCCTAGCAGTTGATTTATGGAATCCAAATCTTTTTGAAATGGCTTTATAACCTTGTCCAGATTGATGAGCATCCACTTCTTTGTTCTTCAGTTCTGCTGATGTTTCCTTAGTTCGAGGCATGATGCTAGACCCATAGGAAGAGTAACTGAACTGCTTTCTTGCAATTATTTATGTTTGCTTCTCCCTAACACAACATTTCAGATCTTCAATTTCATTGGTTATCTCGGTTAATTGGTTAACACTCTGTCATTGACCCACCTGATCCTGCTTTACCTTGATGTACTGTAAGTCATAGAACTAAGAGTTCACTTATTTTTGCACCTGCACAATTTCTGTGTACTGTGTGTATTATTTTATTGCATGGACATTTTCTTTTAAAACACTAAAATTGGTGAATAATTCTACTTTATTTCAATTAGGAAGTGACAAATTCTGATTAAATATGCCTTTTGTGGTTACAAAAACAAAAAATCTCAAATTATGCAATGGGTTCACAAACGTTCAAGCTTAACTGTATGACTTTTTGCATGTAATTTTCACCACTGAATGTTATCAGAGCTTTACGTGACTCTCAGTGATAGATATAAAGGGAGCCTGAGTGACTATATAACACAAACGTTTGGTGCTTGTCTTATGTATTTCAAAAACAAAGTCGACCACCATCCATCCAGTGTCCCTGTGTGAAAAGTAAATGGACCCTTGTACCACTTTAAGCTGCAGAAACTGCAGTCAAACGCTTCTTGTAATTGAGGATCTGTCTCTCACATCTCTTTGTTTCATAAAGTATTCACACAACTGGCCCTATGTGTCCCTTTAAATGTATTGATTGAACAGGATAACTTGTTTGTGAAATAAATTAAACAAAAAGAAAATATGCAGAAATTCTGAAAATCTGAAAGGCAGCAGACACATTTTTACAGAATTGTATATAACACACTGCCATAATGTGAGAAACTCTCTTTATATTCCCCTGCTTCCACTCTGCACACTAGATAATTAAGAGCTGTAAAATTGTTCTGTAAAAGCCTATAATTACCACTTACCATTCTGAATAATTATGTACACATTCTCAATTAAACTGTTCCCAGTAATTATTTCAGCAATGCTTCGGACTGGTATTGTCGCATGAACTGGTAACATTCCTCTGTCTAAATAAGCCAAACAATTACACAAGAACATACGAAATTGTATATTTTAGAGGATTTCAGACCATCTAGTCTATTTGGTAGTTAATTAATCTGAGTTAACTCACCCAGCATTTTCTTAAAAGAAGCTAGGGCATTGCCTTCAATAACATAGTTGTGTAGCTTATTCCATACTCACACAATCCTTTTAGTTAAGACAATCCTTATATAGACAGCATACTCTACAACAAAATACGCAAACATTTTAAGCTCTCTGTCTAGTTTTGTTACTGAATGAAGAGGTCATTCAATCCATATTGTCTTTCTGGTACAGTAGCAAGCGGGTCATTGATCCATGGAGCTTGTCAAGAAAGATGGTGAATTAATGTTTCCGATGATACTCACAAGCCAATGTGCTGTGTAAAATAAAGATAATAATAATAATTGCTTACACTTATATAGCACTTTTCTGGACACTCCACTCAAAGTGCTTTACAGGTAATGGGGACTCCCCTCCACCACCACCAATGTGCAGCATCCACCTGGATGATGCGATGGCAGCCATAGTGCACCAGAACGCTCACCACACATCAGCTATCAGTGGGGAGGAGAGCAGAGTGATGAAGCCAGTTCATTGATGGGGATTATTAGGAGGCCATGATTGGTAAGGGCCAATGGGAAGTTTACAGTATAGTGTCCCCATCATTATACTGGGGCATTAGGACCCACCTGGACCACAGGGTGAGCGCCCCCTGCTGGCCCCACTAACACCTCTTCTAGCAGCAACCTTAGTTTTTCCCAGGAGGTCTCCCATCCAGGTACTGACCAGGCTCACACCTGCTTAGCTTCAGTGGGTTGCCAGTTATGAGTTGCAGGGTGATATGGCTGGATTTGCAATCGTAAAGTATTAGCATCTGGAAAGATGCAAATTTTGAGCCAAATTAGTCATTAATAACGTGATTTAAGTCATTAAGACTTGAAGTGGAATGAAATTCTAGCCAGACACATCAGCCTTCCAGGACCAGCATTGCCCATCCCTAATACAGATTGATTTAGAGTGACTTGCATGTGACTCACCCTGACACAGTGCTTCCCCCTGCAGGGCAAAACCAGGATCGCATGTGCAGTTCTCTCCCTGCTTGACTAAGTCTCCAGGACAACTGCATCCCTTGCCCTCCTCCAGAAGTACCTGATTCCCAGGACAGCTCGGGGCCGGGAGAGGCTCTGTAGACAGAAAAGGGGAAAGGGAGAAAGAGAAGGAAGGGCAACTGAGGAGAGTGTCATGCAAGGCTAGGGGGGTAGCAGGACTCATTCCTTTTGACCAAAAGCAAATTAAATTCCAACACAGGAGGAATAGGAAGAAGTGATGACTCTTCACACGAAGGGTTGTAGGTATATGGAACAAGCTACCAGCCAAGTTGTTGAAGCCAATACCCTGACATCTTTCAAGAAACACCCAGATGAGATCCTAGATGAATCAGCAACTAACTACTAACCACACAAGATGGGCTGAATGGCTACCTCTTCTTTTTAATCCTTCTCATGTTCTTATGTCTATTAATGAAATTCCTCAATCACACATTTGTTCCATTGTTGTCTAGCAACTATAAGCTATTTATAGTTCCCTAATATTAATATTACTAATTTTCTAGCAACAATAATTTGAAAAAAAGTATGATGCTTATTTTATCAAAGTCATTTATGGTCTGTCTAGTCATTGAGGATCATAGCAACCTCAAATACTAGGCAGTGGTTGATGTGTACTGCACAAGATCCTTTATATTTCTGTGTTATACACCCTTATACTGTATCTCCTCTGTAGATCCTCACTGACCTGCTGTTGCAGCCTGTTCGGAGTCACCCAGCTTTTCAATAGCATTCTCCATCACGTCGCTGACGTTCTGACAAAGAAACAGCTGCTCTTACAGAGGGCAATGTTGGATTATTGAAGCATTCTGTGATAATTCTATTTCACCAGCAATTGTGCCCTTTTATCATGGGTTTCCTTTTTAAGTCTTATTTACCTCACTTTGAATGTGCATTCCTATATTTGTAACATATTGCAGTTTTGCATTAGTGTACTTAAGTACACATAACAATTAGATTTATTGCACACATTTTTGTCCTCCTTTTATCTGCTGATCATTATCACTATTCTGTTTACTCACTGTCCAGAGTTTGTGCCAGAAACTTGGCTGTGCTTAAACTGCTGGAAACTGTGGGATGCATTTTCTAATTTAGCTCACACACTGACCTGGGACTTGCTGGGTTCCAGCTCACTGGACTTCAGGACCTCATTGGAGCTGGCAGGGGGGTTTTCCAGAGGCTCTGTGCAGGACAACAGGACCAGCAGCACCAGTGGTGCTCCCCAGAAGAGTGTCATCTCCAGCCCACTGGCACGCAGACACAAGGACAACTGGACAGGAAAAGCACAAGAACAAATGATCTTGTATAGATGGTCAGAGATATCTTAAACATAGCAACAGAGTAACACACCAGACCACTATTCCTGTACAGCAAAAGAAATAGCAGCCTATGCTGTTTACCAAAAATACAGTCCTCCTAAAAAGTAAATAAGACATAGCAGCAATCACAGCAATAATTCCACTAGATGTTTACAAAGTGTCTTTGGAGATATACAGTAGCAGGGGCGTAGTCATCCAGGCCCACCCTGATTGATCCTAGGCCTACCCAATCAGTTCAATCAGTTCAAAGTAATTTAAGATTCTTTTTGCGTGATTTCTTGTTTGCGTTAAATGATTTGCTTTTTTATGTTACATGATTTGATTTTAATTTGCTATTGGCTCGCTGTATCTTTTGTGACCAATAAGAAAATTGCAGTGGGGCAATGCATGGTTTTTGGTCAATCGGATCAAGACGCTTTTGCAATCCTCAAAGTCATTAGATCGTCTGAACAACTTGTCTACATTTGAATGGGAACTTGCTGACTCTCTAAACAGTAATGAGATTATTGCCATATTCAATTCCAAACCCCGTTGCCCGCGTCTGGTCTAGAAGGGCAAAACCTCCCAACAAAGGTAAGGACTGATTGTTTTGTGTGTGTGTGTCTGCCGTGGCACAGTAGCGTCCGGCAGCCTAGGTAATTGTTGCTTAACCTGTGTGTGTGAGAGACAGCATGTACAGTATGTATATAAGCTTCCACTAATTCTACTCTTTGATTATACCGCATGAGGATTGGGATTGTAAATTGTTGGAGGGGTGCCCCTATGCTGGCAGGACGGTCAGTTAGAGCCCGGACCACCCACTTTTGCACAGGCGCACCCAAAAATCAATTCCTGGCTATGCCTCTGAGATACAGGACCACTCTCGCAGCAGCAGCTGAAATAGCTTCACATGAGATATGGGTGGAGGGTCAGTAGGTTTAACTGAGCTCCATGATGGTGTCCTGTAAACCTTTAGGGCTGTCTGAACTGTCCACTGCCTCCTTCAGCGATGCACTGGAGACACATGCACCAACAGCCATGTCATATGTGAGGTCACTCATATCAGACTAATTTTACACAGAACAGCACGTTTAGGAAAAGGTCTGATCTGCTCCTACTTAGTCCTCAGTCATCATCAGACACACCATGAACTGGTATTTTATTAGATACACCATGAACTGGTAATTCACACTGCTTTGAGCAGAATGGGTCACTCCACTGAAACAAACATTAATCATTAATATTTTTCTAGGGTATGCCAATGATATATATGTTTTAGTCTCATAATGTACACTATATTTACTATGTCCTACTCCAAACTGAGAGTGCAAAGGGTTTGCAATGGTACTGACTACGGAAAGCTTCTTTTCCATACATATTAATCAATGTATGGAATGTATAATCAATGACTTCATTGTTAATGCAGAGACATAGGAATACAACTGAAACCATAAACACCAGTGCAAGGACTTTATATATCACTGTCATGTAAGGACTGTGTTCTTCACATCGCCCGACGAGCTGCAGAGCTCTGCGCCCTAACATGTCCTCACAGAGCCAGCTGCACTGCATTGAGTCGGACTGAGTCATTAACTCAGGAATAGTCCGTACAGAAGTAAAGAAGGACAGAAAGGAAAAAGGTTCGGACAGTGCAACTAGTAATACTTCTCCGAATCACACGCACAATAATATACACGATACAGCTCTACCATGCATATGAACCTGCAAAATCGCCTCTTTGATGCTGCGTTACTTTGGTTTAAGAGGCACTGAAGAAAAAGGGAAGAAAGACAAGAAGAAAGTGTAGATGAAGAGAAACATTAAAACTTCTGTCTGGCTGGGACATTCATCTTTCCAGCCTCCAGCCGTTCTTTGTGCGCGTTACCCCGAGTCTCCACCGGTGACCCCAGCAAACTGACTCTTTTGAAAACTTCGAGACTAAGGTAATGACGAAAAGCAACTTAACAGTGAAATAGAAATCTCCCAAAGGACCAAACAAACAGCAACCACCTGCATCCGGCACAAGGGAATCTAATTTGGATTTATTTTTATTATTTTGATACCAATAACGTCTATTAAATATTCCTATTAAAATACTATTACTTTAAAACAAAGCAAACACTGGGCTCTAAATGCTGAAATCGCAATTACCTGTGAACGGGTAAAGGGAGACTTCTGCCTCGTACGTGTTGTGCAAGCCGCGCTCGTCTAGCCTCAGCCTGACTGCGCCTCAAAAAGCCCCTCCATCCCCCCGGCACATTGGGGAGTAATTATACCGCGTCACGTGAGAAGAGACGTACTGTAGCTGGCTGCTTAGAAAGTTCTTAAACTTCTTAAAACCCCTCTTACAGTTACTTTCCGGCACTCACCCGGGGGGTAATTTAACAGCCACATCCTGCTTGGCATTGTGCACTTCCCATGCTTTAAAACCCAAATTAACCCTGCTGAATAGCTGGAGAGCGCCCTGCTTTACTCCAGTTATTGGTCTGAGCCGTGTGTTTTCTGTGGACTGTATTTCTGCGTGTGTTTGCTGTTGTTCACATTACTCTATAGTATCCCCGAATCTTGGCCTCTGTGTGCACCAGTCCGGACAGAGAATTATTTTTTTTTAAACGGACTAGGGGTTGGGACTGGGGAGCAGGGAAAAAGCATTAGGCAGAACTGAAATCAAACAATGTCTGCGGTTGATGGTTAAATTACACAGGGCAGTGGGAGCTCGCTCAGTTCAAACGGCTGAGGCTGTCCTGGCATGTTGAAGACATAATGATGTGGGAACTTCAAATTCCTCTACGTTTTTGTTCTACTTGTTAAAGCCTTGTCCGGGGGGAGCACCAATTCGAAGCCCCTTAATGACATTGCGGAATTCCATCTGCTGAAAATCTTAAATCGCAACTTACATAATGATTTTAAAACACGCAGCGCAAAATTCTTTGCTGGTCAAATGAAATATATCCAAAAGATGAACACACGGGTTGGAACGGCATTTTTGGTAATCTTACACTTGTGAACCTAGCTACAAATTGAAGTACAGAAGATATACTTCTATAACATTTCTGTATCGTTGTTTTTATAGAGCATTCAACATTTTGTAAGACTATACCATCACAATACTATGGTACACTAGTGTACCTATTATTAGGTCAGGTACTGTGGGTAGTTTAACCACATAACAAAATACAGTACTGTGGTACACCATTGCTACAATCTTATAAAGATTCTATATGCTAAAAAACAGTAAATCTAATACTAATAACTACGCTATTTTAATTTAAAAGAGCATAAAGTATAGTGAAACTACTGCGTTGTAACACCCGACGACAGCACGTCAGAGATCAAAAGTAAATCCACATCGCCAACGCCAGAGATACAGTACTGTACGTACTGTAAGTGCTTGGACCACCTAGTCGGGCAGTAATGTGCTGCTACATGCTCTGAATCTGGAGCGGTAAATAGTTTAACGGTAGAACTACAGTTCACACAAAGACACAGTGGCTGCTGTATCATGGAATACATACAGTAACACAATACTTATGTTTATACCAGTTTCTGTACTCTAGTTTTTTGTAATGTGTTCATATTTGCAGGACAAAATGTAAAACTGTTTTCAGATTCACGTGTGCAGAGACAGTGTTTAAAAAAAAAACTTTTTAGCATTCAAACTTGTTCCTCTGATACTGAGAGGATTTGTTTTATAATTACTTGTGGAGGTCAAGGGCCTTGTTTAGATGTACTGTAATTAACACGTTACTTTGTAGAGAAGGAGTGTTTAGTAAATGGTCTTTGATATTATTTTTTAGGTAAACATTTTATTCTGGAGATGGACCATAAAGGTTTAAATAGCCAAATTAAACAAGGGGGAGTAATATCACAGTGTAACTCAGAGCTCTATTGCTATGATTTTCAGATTCATCACATGACTGGCTCCTCTAACATCATTGCAGATTGTGAAGGGGGAGGCAATGAGATGGTGATCCCTCATTGACCTTACCAGCCTGTCTCATTTTTCCAGTCTAGCAGAAAGTGGGTATGCAGCCTTTCCTCTCTGGGCAGTCAGGTATGCACAATTTCTATAGCCTGAATTTAATCACTGAGACTGTATGTCATTGGGAGCTGTTTTATCTTGTTGCCTCTCGCTGTGGTCAGATATCCTGGAGGTGTGTATTGTCTTTTAAGGGCTGAGTAACATTCTAGTTTTTATTGTGTCACATTAAAACCTTTCTCAGCTTTTAAGTTTCTACATGCAAGATCTCCTTTAAGCTCTCTATGGTCTTGTGCTACTTTCTGTGGTCAGACATCATAAGGTGTCATTGATATACACTGCATGTGGCACTGTGTGGTTCCAGCGCTCACCAGTGTGTGTTTCTTCATGTGCTCCCTGTGAGTAAATGTCTTCCCACGGGTAAGGATCTCTCTCTTCTGGGGGAGAGCATGTGTCACTTGAGGACACATGAGATACACTGGTGCATAGCTGAGGGCACTTGAACTTGATTACTATTACCTCATTCACTGCAAAATGACACAGAAAAGGCCATGTCAGTTAAAATGCTACCTACATTTTATATCCCCTGTGATTGTCAAGGACTTTAGAAAAAATGTGTGTTGCACTAGTCTACTAATTACTAATTGTTCCAGAAGTTAAGGTCCTGTTGGCTGATTTGTATATAATTTGGTTGTAATTTAGTGTAACTCTAATTAGTGGTCTTTTAGCAGTACTTTCCTGAGACTAACTGTTGCTGGAGTGGTTAAGAGCAATCAAATGACAGAATTTCGTTGTTATATGTGTAATCCTTAATCTGATTATTATATCATTTTTTGTATTTATACAGCACCTTTTCAAAACATCTTATTTTTTAAATAACTGTCTTTGTAACCATTATTGATTAAGCTCATTAGGTTATTTACGTGCTCTTATTTTGCACGTGTTTGGTAAAGTGTGCTTCAAAAATATTTACTTCCTTATTAATGATAAATTAGTTGTCATTTTACACGCTTGTCCAAGGTCAGAAACAGGTAACGTGACGGTGTGTTCGTGACAATTTGCTCTGCAAGCACCCAGTTGTGCGCCCCTGCGAAGTCGCTTGGGTGACTCAGTCTTTTTTTAACCACCCTTTATCTTCCGTATTTCATGCTGCTACATTACAACAGTCTATGATCTTAATTACCTTAGTCTGTACCTTATAAATATTTTTAAACACTTGTTCATACATTTAAAAAATATTAATACAATAGTAAAACAAAGTAAACTAGTATGTGTATAAAATAAATTCAATGCAAAGAATTTGTGAAATAAAAATCGCCATTTTTTTCCCTAAAAAAAACTTTGGCTCGATTTGATCGGGCGAATAAATAGGTTAGATGAACAAGCGTGAACAATCCGTCACCAAATAGCAAAATGCGAGAAATGACGCGCAAGACGGATTTTAAAGGCAAGTTTTGCTGCATTTCGGTGCTTCACATTTACGGATATTCTGTTTCTCTAGATATTGAAGACGCTGCAAATAACTGTTATCTATTAGCAAGCGCGCAACACCAAGCAACACGTTTTCCTTAGTACATTATTACTGTCAACGAAGCCCTCTTTAATAGATTTTTATTCTTGTTGTTTTAATGTGAGAGAGGGCAGAGACATGCTTTGTTCATGTGGATACATTTAAATACTAATACGCCCGATGATTTTGAAACATTGGCACCTGTGCTTAATATTCAATTCACTAAAAATAACAACACTCAAGATATAAACATATGGAAAGGTTTATTTAATGTTTTAGTCACAATCAAATTTAGCTTAATAACCCGCTCTGCTGAAGGCTAACAGGATGAGGAGGCTGGGACTCCCAAGCAGAGTGAGGAGTGACCAAGAGGCAGCTGCAAAGGTGGAGATGGAGTGGAGGTGGGATGTAAGAAGGGAATTATGTTCAGTATTAAGAATGTTTTACATGAGGAAATTATGTCAGGATTGATTAGGAATTACTGACACCTGAGTCTGATTGATATTTGGCAGTTGTAATCCCTCCCAAACATTCGTTATAATCTCCATTTTGCTAGGAATAACAACACCCATGAAATAATCACATTGAATGGTTTATGGACTGTTTTAGTTGCAATAAAATTGAGCTTAACTGGCTTGGTTGAGGGCTAACCTCCCATCCATAGGACAAGGAGGCTAGGACCGCCTAAAAAATGTAATCAGGGCCCTAAATCACCAATGCAGAATTAGGGAAAAGAACAGAGAAGGTGAGAAGTGTTGTGTGATGTTCAGTACGGCTTGAACTGTGGGTTATTTCAGCCATTATATAGAAAGCTGTAGGAGTGTTTGTTTAAGAGTATTTGTTTTGGTTTATATAAATTAAGGTGGCCTTGGATGACCAGTGTCTGAGTTGCTTTATGGGATAATAAGGAAGGCCTTGACGAGCTGCTGAGGAGGCAGCTTCAATCTGGAAGGAGCAGCCACAGAATTGCTCTGAAGCAAATTTAGGCTTGGTGAGAACTTCATGCAGATCAAAGAGAAAACAGTTATGAAACGGTATGAGGCTTTTCATTAGCAAAAAGAGAATCAGTAGGAGATGCTTTTTGAAAAATGCTAATCTGGAGATAATGGAGTCAAGATTCTAAAGGTCTGATGTACTGTAAGTAGACTTAATTGTTGATAATCTTAGAATGACATTTACCTTACAATAGAAGATAAAGGATGAGATTATATCACAAGAAGTATTTATTTTTACATTTGAAGGAGATGGAAGGATTAAAAAAATCTCCAGGCAGTATGGTAGGAACTGAAGGTACAAGGTGTACCTTCAGATAGTATTTTGAACCAGCTGGAAAGCTGGTACAGATGGAAAGAGTGATTTAGAGGAATACTAGATTTGAATAAGGAGGAGCTGGAGAGGGATACTAGTTGGCAACAGGCCTAAATTCTTGAACCTCTGAAATTGAAAGTGAGAAAGATAGAAATGGCAATATTGTTGGCATGAGGTTTGATGTCAGCTGTAACAATTAGAAATTGTTTTATAATATTTATAAGAGAAAGCCATTGAAATAACTGAGGAATTTCATGATAAAGGGAGAAGATTATCTTCCTTTGTTGATTATAAATGGTGATGCTGTCTGAATGGAATTTTGTTTCTAATTGTGGACCAAAAAGCAGCTGTGACAACTGGAAACAAATAAAGCCGATGATCAGGAGAAGAGATAAAGGTAAACTCAAAAGGACAAGGTGCTGTGAACCACTGGCCTCAATAATAGCCTCTGAAGCCAATGAAAGGGGCTGTGTCTGTGAAATCTGT